TTTTTAATATTTCTCTATATTTAATGTATTATAAATATTTATATATTTGTGCCTTATAATCTAAACATTCAAGTAATTGACAAATATCGATTTGCATTGATTCATTCTAAACATTATTTTCGGACGCAGCAAACTATATATAAACTGCACTATATTAACATAAATCACTTCTATTATCTCTGATTTACAAGCGAGAGCTTAACTTGGATAATGAACGTACTTCCCCTATTTTTTCCAGTCGTACGATGAATAATAATAATAATGGACATCATTTGAAAATTTCAATTAGTAAAATAGAATATTATTTATTCTTAACATATAAAATAATATATAACTAAATTTTATTAATGCTTCTAGAGTTTATAGAGTTTCAAGTAGACAAATATTATCTCACTCAATATGAGCTGCTCCCAAATTTATTTTTTCCCGCTGCCTTTGATTACTCTACCTTGCTTAATGATGCTTAATAAATTTTATATAGCTCAATTATAATTGTTCTTGGTATTCTAAAAAACTGAAATTGGCAATTTATTATTTGTTAACTTGTTTATTTATCTTTATGATATTGATAACATTTTTAAAACATTTTTAAATTACACTAATTCAATAGAATGGCTAGCAAAGTGATCAGGCCCAGCAGTAGGCCGAACACCTGCTGTCCCTGGGCTCCACTGGCTTTGTACTCCAGCACGTAATTGTTGCACGCACTGGAGCCATGTCCGTTCTCGGGCAGGCAGAGGCTGCAGTCGTTGGCCTGAAGACAACTCATTTGCTCCTTGACGCTCAGGGCACAGCCTCTTTGCAACTGTGAGCCAGAGGCCTTCACGTAGCAATAGGCGTTGTTGCCCGTGGGCGCTGGGCATTGGGCGGGGCTGATGCTGTCGCCGGCCAAGTTACACTTGGCGTCCTGAATGAAAGCAAGAGGAATTTATACAGTCTGACTCTACAGATACTCAATACTCACATCTGAGCCGTTGCACTGTATGCACTGATAGTCGACACGTCCTTGATTATTGCACAGATCTCCGCCGCACTTTTGGCACTGCGGATCTCGTGCCTGGCACTTGGATCGCGCAGCTAGCGATATTTCCAGCAGACAGCCTCGCTCACTGACCCTAACTGCGCCGCATATGGTATTAATATATGCATTCTGCTTAAACGACTTGATTTACTTACAGCCCTCGTAGACAGTCACACAAATATCCAGCAGATCGTTGCACCTGACCGTCGCATTCTGTCGCGTGGTTCGCTGACAATTGACGCCCTCGCAGCTGTAGCAAGTGCGAGGCGCTGCAGCACTCACGGCTCCCTTTTGCAGCTGGCTGGCAGCAGCAAAGGAGCAGCAGAGCACAAGGATAACAGCTTGCGTTGACAACATGTTCGCAACACCCTTTGACTTTGGCATCTAATGCCGAACTGAAACTTGTCATTTCGCCGACCGCAGCAATTTTCAAGTCAATTGACGGCACTTCAGGAATTTCCTTAGAATATTTCTATACTGCATTGGAAGTGAGAAGTGCCGCTAAGACTGAAGAGTCAAAAGCTGAACCTTTTCAAGGGGCTCTTATACCCTGTACTACGCTTAAGGCATACAAGTTGTTTTATTGTAAATGTGAGGCGAAAGAGTTGGCTGACTAAAGTAGAATATTTTAGTTCAGTTTTAGCTATGAAATGAAGCATAAATTGAAAGTCATTTAAAGCATTCTTGCCTTGCTTATATTAATGTTAATTTACTTTAAGTCTCGCATATCTTTTGAATTCTCATTAAGAGTAGATTCATTTCTCCTTCTTAATATTTATTGGACTACATTTTTATTTATATCTACATTGAAATTTATAATAATTTTTATTATTTATTTAACATGGAATTTATAGAGAATTATTAACAAATTCACTGATATCAACTCAACTCATGCCCTAAATATATTAATTTAATAAAACTCCATATACTTCCCAAATTACTATAGAGATTACTGAGTATATACATCGTCAATCGTTGTCTACTTAAGATCATATAGCTTCCTCCTGATACGTTTTTGTGACTTATCGGACGATGTTTTGTTTTGTTTGCATTTCTCTTGTGTTGGCTATCATATGACAAGGTTGTTGAGGCTTATCTGCCAAACTCACAAATATACATATGTATATACAAAATTTATATAAATATATTCGCATTCCCATAATATTTTTGTATGACTCATTTTAAACTTGCTTTGACGTCTCTTTATATAAATTAAATTAAATGCTTATATATAAATTCAAACTTTTTTAATTGCCCTCTTTCTGGAAATTTCTATTATCAAGCATATTTTGCTACAACTAACATTTATTGGAGTGTGATCTATATCTAAAGCTGTAACGTTTCTCCCATGAATCATTTGGAATTGGCCATAGTTGACCAATCGGCTTTATTAGTCCACTTATCTGCAGGTTATCAGAGCGTTTATCAACAATTGCTACGAATTCATATACAATGTGTACAAATATATGACACTCTACCAAATTACTGGCAACCAAAAAAAAAAACCTCTGTTAAGATTTATAGACAACATGCGAGGCCGCGACTAATAACAGTTGTCAACTAGTTTTGACCAAATCAATTGGCAGACACATGTTGTCCATCTTCGAACTGGGCTAACAGTTTGATGAGATATGGAATCATGACACAACCCAAGGAAATTGAAAATTAGTTTTATGAAATCTTCAAATTTATTTCAGCTAGCTATCTTTTGGAATAATAATTATTTATTAGGAACTAGGAATAGAATTTACTTTAAATAGACAGATGCGTTGGAAAGATATGTGTTTTGCCTAGTCTGAGTCAGGGTGGGTTGACCTAGATTACCTTACATTAGCTAGTCTAGCTGAAGTAAGCTCTATTATAAAGCAAGATTCATAGGATATTTTCCACCCGACCAGCACATTCCAACCTCTTCATTTGATTTGCTTTGCTCAGCGCACATTTCGCTCAAAGCTATATGATATTTCCCATTTGTTTCCATTATTTGCCTTCCTGCCGTTAGTTCTTTTTGAACTTTTCAAACATTTTTTGTTTTTTTTGTTCAAGTTTGCGCTCAACTTTAATGCGAAGGTCATACTCGAGAGTTGAGTTCGTTCAAATTAAAGAGTAAACTGTACTTATTTGCATATATTTACGGCAGACTTTTTTTTAGGAATAACCTAGCCGGACGGACACAGCATGCGGAGATTACGTTACACAAT